TGTGGATTTACATTTTTTGTCGAAAAATACAAATTTTATTTTCTTTGCATCTCTCCATTAAAGATGTTTTCGGCCACTTTAAAAATCTAAATCATAATTTAGATCTATTTTACACCATAATTGAAGGATGTTCTTATTGAATTTTTAGGATATTAGGGCACCGCCCCTCCTCCATTATCCTATGTCCCCCCCTACCGTCTGCCCTTGAGACTAGACATGGATGGAACGGAGCTTGAACGCATGGAGAAATAGAGTATCGGGTAAGGAAGATGACAAGAAGAAACGATTAGCTAATGAATGTATTTCGTGTTGGGTATTTGTTGACAAACAACCTCAAACAGGCTATGATGTTTAAGATTTAATTTCATATGTTTCGGCCAAGGATTGAAATAAGAAGTCAACACCACAAGATGAGACTCAAATGGCCCATTTAAGGGGTTAACCCAGTTATACATACTTCGGCCATTTGAGATTGATGTGTCCTAGTCTTGTGTTTATATGTGTTCCCTTCTTTTTTTCTGTATGAGGCGTGTGATCTTTTGCTCTTCGTGGGCTATATATATTTCTTGGGCAACCTTAATGGAGTATAAGGTCGAGCTTAAGGTTTAGAGTCACTTTGTGGTGTTGAGGGTTGATTTAAACTGAACTCGTTTAATCACATTTCTATCGTGTTTTTGTACATTTATTGGAGTTCTTGGTGAGACCATCAATGACACCTTGAAAAATATTTTTCTTTGGGTTGGCGTATGGGGTGTCTCATAAAGTCATTAGGACATTTCCATGACATACTTTGCCTACATCTGATTTCACACACAAGCATGAACTAGGTTTTCTTACCGTTTTTGCATTAATTATTTGTGGGGACCAAATTCAGATATTTTAAAAATTGCTGAAAAATCTTGCATGCCAAATTTCAAAGAATTTGACTCTAGAGCTCTTAATTTCTCAAAACTTTGTACACACCTACTTTTCAAATTGAAACTCAACCCCCCCCCCGGTGAGTTTACCAAGTAATTGGGCAAGGAATTTTCTATTGCATGTCACAATTTAGACAAATGAGCTCTGGGAAAATGATATATGAAGAAAATTATTGGCGTTCGCAGTCGACCTTATCAACCTCTAGAAGTTGACATACACAAAATTTAGCAAGGGCAAGTTGGGCAAATATCACATTTGACAATATCTCACTAAAATTAATTAAAGACAGCGATTTCTTACCAATACAAGTAATTATTTGGACATAGGAATTTATAACTGCATAGATTCAAGTCAAAAATTTAGGTTTCTTTTACAGAATCTTGGTATTTTAACTATCCCATCATATAGTCAGAAACTGCTTGTGCCTAATCTCTACTCCATGGCCCACTATCTCATGTTGTGGAAAATCAAGTAAAATTAAGCTCGTTTGATTGCAAATGTGAAAAATGAG